TATCTCACACGACTAATTGGAAGAGTACGTTTAAGTGACTCCTACACCTTCTGAACAGACTGCTCCTACCGAATGGGAATCTCCGACAACCGTAAATGTCTCGAATGATCGGAGCTTATAAAAGCCATCCAACTGTGTAGTCCATCATGTGCCTTGGTTCCATAGGACTCGTGTGAAACATGGTGGTTCGAGTGCTGTCAGAAGTAACTGAAACATTGCGGTTCGGCTCGAATCGACCGTGTCACCCTAACAAACGATTTGATACGATGTCCTAGTCATCCGTGTTCTCGACTTCCAACAAAGTGAGCATCAGGGAGGGGCAGTTATTCATGTTAGTAAGTGGTATGTGAACTTGTGAATCTTAGGCGATTTAGATGGATGGAAAAACTTGAGGACATGTTAGGGCGGCATACACTGGAGTGAATTTATCGTGTTACGTTTTTTCGACTTTTTGAAATTCAAAGTTCGTCGTTACCAACGCTTCTCAACAGATCACGTCGGAGGACGTTGATCTTTCATCGTTGGGCTGTCAGATTTCACTTTTAATTTGCGTAGCTACATTGAAAAACACTATAGTGCTGTTATTCACGTGTAAATATTTTAGGGTCGTGCGGGCCAGTTGATAAATCACACTAAGTGTCAGGAAGACCGTGCGTGACTTGAGTTAAAACGAAACGGTAGCATTATTAATCAAAACAATTGTCCCGTAAAAAAGGTCGTATAGCCTCGTGTCTTCAGGCAACGCCAGAAATAGTGGTCCTCTTGCAAGTGTCAAAGAGGCGGTCCAAAGCAGTTCTGTTGAATAATCTCATATTTTAACCATTTTATTGCAAAGTCGTGTTTGATCTGGACGCTGATGCAAGCGACTGACGTGAAACGGTTAAACCTGTTGCAGGAAAACGTGGGCAAGCTACTCAAGGTTGCTGAGAACTCTTCGACAGCCCACAACCGTTTGCGGTCTTCTTCGGGTTCATCAGTTAGGAGACATTTTACTTGCCGAAAAGACTGCATTCTAGTGAACGCTCGTGGCCGCGAATTGGTTCGAACAAGAGGTAAACGGCGTTGCGAGCTACCCGCTGACAGTCTCAATTAATGAATGTCGTGTTCTGCGATCTATCGTATTTTAACCAGTTACACTACAACCTGACTGACTATCTTTCAAATCCCCGGGGACGTTTTATCTCGGATGACCACAGCTACCAGTAGCTAGGCAAGGTGGACCAGAATAGCCCATGTTAACACCAGTGCTTGTATTCTATGAGGTAATTTGGACGTGATCGTCCCTCTGCCCTGAACAACTTACTGACAAAGTGATCCAATGGGCAGTGAGATTAAGAAGACACGGTCACCATGCCATCCAGACTGGGCTACCTAACGTCAACAACTTCGCCTTGTATCATTTCAGTCGCGGTACCAATCCACATTGGACTTTTTGGATTTCTTACACTCCACGTTTTTGTGAGCTCGAACAAAGTGAATTGATTCGGGAGCCTAGTACCAATGTGGCGCGCGGTCACTCTGACAGCACGTATGCGTGCAACTTAAATATGAGGCTTGTCTGGCGAACTGGCATCATCCACCTGCACTGGAGAGCTTTTGAATGTAATTCAATTTTTCCTCACATCAAATTACAAGGACAGGTTTGCCTTAGGTTTGGGTAGGCTCCAATAAAAAAAAACTGAAAAACAAAGGTGTAGCACTGTCCACTTCAGTTGAACTGTTCTTTATTCTGGATTGAGTAAAGATGAACTGCTCAACCCAGAGGCTCTGAGTGGCTCGTCTTGAGTAAACCGCGCTAACAGTGAGCCATCTGCCATGCAGACATCTCCCATTACACCTGGTTATGTTTGAACTACAGGCAAACGAAGGTGGCAAATAGCCGGAGAGATAATTTTTAATTTGATCCTTGTATTGAATAGCTCTTAAATGGGGTAGATTGAAATATTCGGCCCATTGGAATAGCGAACCAAAACTTTGAGCGCAGCATGTGAACAGCATCATTAGCTCTGTGGGGCTGTACAGCTGAATAGTTGATGTGCATTTTTCAAACACATTTTAGCCGCTCGCAACGTGAAAGTATGCTGCAGTTCGAACCACACAGTTGTATGCGGTCATTTTGGGCAGCGGAGGTCTTTTTATAATACTGGAGAGGTCGTTCATTGCTGCTGAAGTATACGCGCTCCTTGAAGGTAAAAAAAGTCATGGGCAGCTTAGGGGACAACGTCCCCCATTACGGTAAAATCCGACAAGATTTAATGAGTACAGATAAGTCATGTGTTCAGCAGTTGGATAAAAAATACAGCACTAGATCTACCTCCGATACCAAGTATTCAGGTCCCCTCACGAATTGCTCCTTTATAATCCCAGGCCAAGCAGCTTATGAATTATTCTCGTCCCCATCCCGTCGCCTTTCGATGGCCTCGAGATTTCCGGATGCCTCTGTGCAAGCAAGACCAGCACCACTCATCCTTCTGAACGTAGGCTAATTAAATGAATTCCAGAAAGCTTTACCGTCGAGCTAGCAACAACGCGTTAGTGGAAACTAGAAATCAAAAGCTATCAGATGGATACCTATAGATCTTCAGTTGTATCATCCAGTGGGCTACAGTGAGCAAAAGTAAACCGATGCCGCCGGATCCGTCCGAATGAACGCTTATATTCGTGATTTATTTGGCCAATTGTTTTCAGAAACCATCGTTTATTCACAATATGAGCCTGATAGCTAAACTGGCCAATGGATGTCTTGTTTACGGAACTGGGCTTTTTTTTAAACGGTGCTGCTCTTTGACGCTACGTCGCCTCGACACTTCCAACTTGGAAACTATCTGTCCTGGAAACAATACACGAGACATTCCTTGAAGCCTCTTGGCAGTTAACAAGTTATTTATGCGCCTACCGGTTTTCCGGGTGCAGTTTTGTCACGGCTGCAATCAAGCGGCTTGCCTATGCATGTGTGTGCAAAATCAAGTACTCCTAGGGACCTGTAAAAATGACACATTTTTAGAAACCTCTCTCGAGGGCACATCGTGACTTGTACTTTTGTGGCATTTCTCTGCAAAGCTCGGGAAGAAATAAACTGTTCTGAGGATAATGACTTTAGGGAGCTGTCCACTGAATTCGCTGAAAATGAAGCTAGCTGTATTCGCAATAGAGAAAACAGTTAAGCATAGATCAAGCAAAATAACTGTGCTTGTGGAAAGAAGGTCTTCGCTGCGGAGTTATTTATTGGAAAACACCAAATGAACAGTTACAGACTATTGGACAAGAAAGCAAAACTCCCTTATGCATCTTGTTTATAAAAACTGTGTATGTCTTCTCGAACGTGCCCTTTAGAGCTTTCCTGGATACTCATTGACTATCACTCAAATGTAAACGAATGCTACGAAGCGACTCCCCAAATTCCACAATAGATCTCACTTTTCAATAGACTTACGAGAAAACAACACTACTCGCATGCTTCATCAGCAGTACCCACCGTTACACTCGTATCTCATGTATACGTATAAACGCCTCACCGCATCAGTTCCATGTTGGTTGGTTGATGCATCCGTACATCGTATTATGGATTTCACTATAGAGTTTACCATGGTATTCTTTTGATGGTATTATTGGCGTCCGGACGAACGGTTGGTTATTGCATACCTAACCTGAACAATTAAAGCCAAGTGTTTTTGATACGTGCGGGGATGCTTTTCGGGCAGGGTGGATAGGCTACCACTAGGAGCAGGTCATCTAACACTACTCCTTCAGGGGACAACACCATATTGTACGTTGGCATATATTTAATTCTAACGATGAATTTTTGAAAACGTTGATGCAATGAAAGTGCCTAACACAACCTGTAATGTGTAGGTCCTTACAGAAAATCAACTTTTTCACACGTGTTTTATGGAACAAAGTTCAAGTACACTTTCTACATGTTGGAATTCAGTCTTCAGATGGATCTAATCTATGTGTTTCTATTCACAGTGCAGTGACAAACCCACTGATAGCGGAGAAAAAGTCCTTTTGCTTGATTTTTCTAAACACAAAGCGCGCATCTGGCACAAACGTTTTTGACTTGTTACTCTTTTTGGGCCTTTAATATCCCACCCATTCAACTACTGAAGGAGATTTTTACCTCATCTATTTGTGCAACACAGCTGACTACGGTTACCAGAGTTAGTAAACGAGTGAGACATCAAATGCATCAACCGAATACTAAGAACAGAAGTGTGGGAACATCGCTATCCTCCATTAGGAGTTCAACGAAAGTTTGTTTGAAACATTACGCCCTGCCTCCGTGGAGTTCTCTTGGGGAAGGTACTCCGACTGTTCCATCCACCGGTTGAGCCTTGGGACACATCAACGTTATCATAACCAGTCTAGCTTTGAACCCACCTACATTTATCCACTTTTCACTAAAGACCAACATTCCATCCTTGAGATGCCGATAGCAATGCACTACCCACGATATTTTCGCTATTACACCCAAAAAAAACTAACAAGAAGCTTGGCTTTATGTACCAATTGAAAATGTCACTTTGAGCGCAACCTGCGGAATGTGCATCTGTGTCGTTTCCTGATCAATATCATGCGAACCGGATACGTCTATTTTGAAGTCACTAGCCTTGTGTAGTGACCGCTATGATACCGCTCAATTTGTGACTACATTCACACATACGCAGTTGTTGCTGGTGCCATTTTAATGCATCTATGGGCGATAAACTGGTTGCTGTATATTGCGCACCGTTGTTTGGGAGGGGAGAGTCTCATGCTTGAGTCTCGAGAGTTCGTTGTCTCGGTAGCGTGGTTTCCTGGTTCAACTGTTTCTGGGGTATGTTTTCCTGGCATCATGAATCATGAGAAGGTTATGTTGCGGTTGTATCGGTATTTAATGTCCACGATGTACTGACACGGGGCGACATGCCCAATCGCAGTGTAATTTTAATGTCACAGTGGTACGTTCCTTGTTACGATCTCCAACCCTCTGACAACTCTTTTATTCATTTCTGTTTCAGTCTGATGTCCTTCCCTGGGATGTACGAGCACATAAAGCGCCGTGGCATACCGGTAAGCATCTCCGGAACTTACAGTTAACAGCCCGTTGGCTGTCCTTTGTGCGGAACTATCCAGGCCCTGCTAGTGAAGGTGTCATATGGCCCACATGAGGTTGACTTACAGTTGTCGTCTGTCTTTCGTGCTCTATGAAGTTGACGTTTGACTACTGAGCGCTGCATTTCGGGAAGATTTAGGTTCTTACAGCAAAGAGTGATCCTTAGGAGTTCTACACCAAACTCGATTCGGATCTTGTTAATCAGAATGAGCGCCATGTGGTGTATAACATGGAAGGGTCAAAACAGCTCAATGAAATCGGTTATAGTCCGACGTTTCGGTTTCCGTGAACTACCAGTCTCAAGGATTTCTACAATCAATCACCTGTAGAAACGTCACACTATAACACCTTATTCCACTGCTTTACGTTTTGACTTTGAGTGTCCCCTAGAATGAACCTATTTCCAATTTCATCGAGAAGTCTGTGGATGATGTTCGGTTCCCAGGCTATCAACCTCTGGTCTATTTTGCATCTATCGGGATTGTTGAATGGGCATCGAATGAACAGTCAAATGATTCAATGACCAGCAGTTAATGTGCTGTCGTCAAAGCCCACTTGCTTGTCGTACTTGTTGAACGGTAGAAGGCAGGGCTGGTCAGTTCCAACTCACTTGCATTTGGGAACAAGAGGAAAACACTGGCTATTTGAAGTCAGCCTAGAAATCTTTGCTGAGTTTCTCCCCATTAATTTGGTTGTTGATCAATCTTGGATACGTAATTGATTCTACTGACCTCTTGAGGTTCATTCCTGGTCATTTGCAACTTGGAGCGTTAGGGCTTCTCCAACTAAGCTGGAACATTCGCTTTCATCCAGTGCAGTTAGACAGCTGTCTGCGTACTCGGCAGAATGGTCTTTTTACGTTGCGCTTCCTAAATACATCGGGTCGGTTTTCGACAGTGATACGAGCTTATTTTCTCATGCGATTTCTAGTGATATCAGACTGCCGACATTACAGTCACTTCCGTTGTAAATGTCCGTATCTAAATTTCTTTTATTCTGGACGGTTTTCTTTTACTGTTAGACTATTAAGGTTGATGCAGTAGACAACCATTTCTTCTGAATACTACAGGTCTGTCGCGCTTCACTCTCATTTACAATGAGCAAGATATCTGGTTTGGCACAGTAAAAACTGGAGCCCACTAATAAATCCTTCTCAGATTAGGTCAACGTAGGTGTAATTGGAACCACCCTGTCGAGTCTCTCCCTGTTCTCGAGAAAAGTTTACGAAATATCCTTGTCCTATTGTCCAAACATGGTGCAGTAGATTTAGATACCCGGACTCTCGAGCGAAAATATCAGTCCGTTATCGCCACTTCGGAACCTGACTTAATTATTCCTTGAAAACCGAGTAGACAGCTTTTCGTTGTATTGAACAGAAATAAACGTTGCAGTCAAACTAAAGAAACCGTTGTGTCTTTGAAATTTTCGAACATATATCTTGTTATTACTCCATTTATTAACTAGTAAATTTGATCCGCCACCCGAGCTCGCCCCGAGAAGTGAAGTTAACCTATTCTGGGAAGTACTCTAAAGTCATTTCATCCCTTTTTGGGTAGTACCAATAGTGGGAATCTCACGATGTCAGCGATTTGCCGTTCGGAAGTAGAGAATTGGTGGTTAAAAGCACCCGGAATATTGTATTCCGGGTACCATTCAGTCCTCACCTCAGTACCACCTCCAAGTAACTTAATTTCCATCCCTACCCAGGTTTTCATGTGGGTAGGAAACACCTACTCCGAATTCCGCACCGCATTTGAACTTGGTGCCACTGGCGTGATGACAGACTACCCCAGTCGTTTACGCGCTTTCCTCGACGGAGATACAAAAATGGCCGACCGTACAACCTCTTCGTGAGCGGGGCTCAGGATTCATTGTTTGCCGCTGGCACTACTCACTTATCCTTGTCCGAAGATTATTTTTCACTTGCGTTCAGGCTGCCTTAGCCGAAGCTCAGCTCACTCTCAGCTTAACTTCTCCTATTTTTTCCATATGTGTTACATCAATTGTTTATCATTTCACTTTTATCACCATGCTCGAGAATCCCCTCTATCTGCACCCTTTTCTCACCCTTTGTTATCAATTCATCGAGGTCTGGTTCCCGACACTGTCCTGTAGCATTTACACCGATAGCCCCGTGTTTCTCTCTTTTGTGCTCGTGATTTTGTGAAGTTTCCTTACCTGACTACCTGATTTCATCGATGTTGACTTGCCTGACAGTGGGAGTGTGAATCCGTGTCAGTGGGTATGGAAGGATTCTTTGTGACAGCGTGAAGGTTACTCTTCTCAATACATTGTCGCACTTGGGAAATGATGGCATACTTTACGAGTCGTGTCAAATTATGCACCTAGTGGGATTACCTTTGTTAATTTATGGTATTTCTACTGTCTTGCTTTCTCTCTGTGTGTGGTATACGCGTCAGTACTCAAGGTGTCATCTATAAGCCCAATGTGAGTACGATTTTTGTGAATATTCAGGACACCGTTGGGTCCATTCTAGCTGGCTCTCTTCTGATCGTTTCCCAGGTTGTCTTCATTATTCCGATGACTAACAACGCTCATAAAACGAAAGAAGTGGTTAAGATACGGTCCACTTCTGCATCCTAGTGTGCAATATCTTACCCGGAAGTGGTGACAGCGTGTAGATGCGTCAGTGCAATCTGGGATGCAAAAATCAGTTTTTTTTCTCGACTGTTATATTTCGAACGTCTGTGTCTTTCCGGATTCGAGTGTCAAACGTTCTTAACTAACCGGTATTTTCTAAAAACGGGAGTAAGTAGACCGTGGTCGTTGGCTTGTTCGCTGAGCTGGGCAATTTGATTGCAAATGTTTCATCACCAATCAAGGTGACATCATCAGTGCGTTATTGTGGAGCGTAGGAGTGCGTGCAGTAGGAGTAGTGGTGCGTAGTAGGCTACGCACTACTACGCTCCACAATAACGCACTGATGATGTCACCTTGATTGGTGATGAAACATTTGCAATCAAATTGCCCAGCTCAGCGAACAAGCCAACGACCACCATCTACGCTACCTGAGCTACCAACGTTTTCCTCTATAGTAAGTAGACCGCCCACATTTCAGTAGAAAGTTCATGGTCAACAGCGTTCGTCTTGCCATCAGCAACAACTTCGTAACAAAACTATGCGGTGGAAATATCGCAATTTTTGTTCACATGTTCACGTGATAGCTTTTCGGACTATAGACAGCGTCTCCTACACGTAAATGAACTCTCTGAAGTAAAGATGCCCAAACACAACAGTCCTGTACCGTTGTGTTTGTTCCAACACTTAGTGGTTTCCCCCGCCTTGGTTCCAAACTACCCTTAGAATCGTTGACCCTACACAGCTCTCGCTCTAAGTCAGTTGGTGATTCCACTTTCTTATGATTTTTGCAAGCGACGTCGCTAGGTCTCTCAAACCCAGCGTAGCTGAGTTCCACACGGCATCCCTTATGCTCCGAAATACCTGGGCTACATCATGTGATGTGCTGACCACTGGTGTGGGATGGCTGTTGACGCCACATGTTACCATGACTTCGTACCCATATTCTGGTGAGTTTCATATCAACGGGTTGAGTCCCCTAATGTAAGCCAACTGTTCAGCTAAGTTGTTCCTTTATTTACCACGGGTCTCACTAATTCCGTGCAATTTACCAGCCATTTCCGCATATTTCTAAATCGATTTACATAGGTTTAATTATTATGGGGTTTGGCGAATAAATTATTAACTGCTAACAATAGTGAACACTAAGCGGGTGTTACTGTGGATCACACAGTTTTGTACTGATTTTCTAGGGCTTACTCGAGGCTAGTGACAAACTGTCGGTCTGTTCTTTAGCGCGTTTAATGTGCTTCAGAGTAAACTTCATTCGTTTTTCTAGGGTTAGAAGATGATAAAGAGCCTCCAGCAACCGCTGCTAGGAAACAAGAATCGGCAAATAACTGCCCAAATGCAGTTCAACTCATTCCGACCAATCAGCAGTGTTTCACATCGATCACTAGGAGCAGATCCAAAATAATTCGTTCGAAACTGTGACGTTTTGGATATCGAGACTTACAAGTGTCAGTATTTCGTTTTGGGGTTAATTTTCAGAATCGTCAAACTTCCCAAGTTTGAGGAAAAAACCTTGTTATTGTTGTTTCCGACCTGGTTCCACATGCGGAAACCATGCGGCGACGTATTTTTTGTTACGGGAAAATACTTATAAACATTTCATTGTTTACAGCGGGCACGTGGTCGTTAATTCCAAGGCACAGATGCTTATACAAATTTTTGCGTGTATGCTTATAGCCAATCAGTTCCCCGAATTACTCAACACCCACAGAACAGATGATAGTTATTGAAACAGTCGTCAGTTCTGATGTGATGATCACAACGACTATGGTTTACAATGTCGCATTAGGTCAATATGAACCGGAGCTAGGGCTGTGGCGCGTAATAGTTTTTCTGTTGCCTAATGTTTACCCTATAAGTGACACTGTCGCTGTAATTCGGGTAAACAGACTTGCTGTTCTGCGTTGGTAAACTGCGTTCACTGTTCAACGTACCTAGACTGTCAACAGCAACAACAACAGCAATCAAATGATGCCGTGATAGTTGTTTGCATGAAACTCCGAGTTACCGCGACCACCACATCAGTAACAAAGTCACTAGCCAAAATTTTGGCGCGCACTTGTTTTTCCGGAGATGATATGAATAGGAAGTAATCTGACTTGTGTACTTAAACATGGGTATTCAGCAATGGAGACCACAGAAAGTACATTATTTAGTCAGTACCAAATGAAACAATGTTAACAAGTAATTGGCGTCTCATCATGTTACAAGACGCTCGTGTGTGTACGTGCCATGAAAAGACTCAGGAAGATCAGCACCTAGTTCATTCAGACTGACACCCTCTTCCTCTACTGAAATACACTGAGTAGTTTACAAATGGCCCATGTCTGTATCAGCCTTCGAAGCTTTGCCACAAAACGTGGGATAATTTCGGTTTCCACGAATTCGTTAGTTTGTTTTATGAGGGTTTGTCTAAGTTTTATGAATATCGATTTACATAGTTGATTTAGGAGTAATCAAACTGCAGTATGGGAACATTCATACCTTGCTGCACCACAAACCGTAGTGGTTACGTCCGCTGTACGAAACTTGATTGAGGTCCCAACAAAAATCTAACGCAATATATCAGCTTGATTGTCAGAGTTATTGTATATTAACGAAATGATTGATCAGCGATTGTTTTTGAAGGTGAGGGGTTTCGTGGAAAAAATCCGAACGCTGGCTTTCTTTTAGAAAAATCATCCGGGGTATTCAAAAAATGGCATGAAAGTTATTTAACAAACTCCCGGGAGCTAACCACTACCAAGTGCACTTGCAATTGAAATGCGTGTCAGATAAATGCCCAACGGACCTAATCAAAATTTTCAAGTTTAGGGCCCACTTAGAGTTTCTTGGAAGTATCAACAAATAATCTTCCTGTGTGGAAATGAGCTTCCGGCACTCCGTAGCTTTCGGAAAATCTTTGGTGTTGCGTCCAAGGCGCGGTGCATCCCACATTGTAAAATCGTACCATGTCAAAAAGGTTCGCCACTGCAGAGCTAATCAGAAGGTGTCAGTCACAATCAAATAGATAAAAACATGCAAGAATTTTGTTGCAGGTATGGTATGGTGTCGGGGGAGAGCTTTCTATGTGTGGTTCCGCCGAAGCAACTGAGTTCCATGACCATCACACCGCCTGCATTACTCCAGTAACCACTGAAGAGAGATTCGTGGAAACTGACGACTTCGGAAACCGGAGACTTCCAGAGGATGAATATTTCCTATCAATTATTGAAATAATTTAAAGTTCACATGTACCGGTATGTGGCGCATAAGGCGATGTTCAACACCTTAACGATTAAGCCTACGGAATACACGAATGATTCACTCCCTCTTATCGCCAAATTTGGATTTTATTTTTGAAAACTGAGGGTAGACGTTGTACCATTTCAGTTCTTTTGGCGGGACCCGTCGACCACTGTCTGCACTGAAAGGCGGTGACCTAGATATACGGGAATTACCATTCCCCGGGCTCTCCCTACGTGTTCCTCAGCCGAGAATTTGATGTAATTAGCTGCCAACCAGCTAAACGTTGCCCATTAAAATAACTTCAAATAAACCCTGGATCTACTCCACACTGATGCTTTCGACATCCATAATCTATGTAAAATTTGGCAATAAGCACCCCATCCTCACAATTTGTTTCCCCCCTCGATATATGTGTGTTACACTTCCGAAAACGGCACAAAGGACCCCAGTTAGACCGAACAGATGGAAATCAACTTCTAATTCTCGCATTTTATCCCTCGGTTATCCTGGTGCAGTGGCTCGTTGGACCAAAATCATGCGGTTCGTGTTTGGCCTGGGGGATAACTGCGACTTACTGGGTCGGTTAGGCTGGTTCAGCCGAGATCACTGGTGATTGCTGAATCCACATACGCTGGAACAAACGATGGCTATAAGGCAAAGAAAGTTAACTTCGGCGGTGTGTTTTACGGTTTCTCAGCCAGAAACAAGTGCAGATACTGTGATTTTGGCGGTTGAAATGAGTACCCAGTTCGACTGACTCATTCCCGTCTTGGAAGCCGACTTGACATTCCTTCTCAAAGCGAAGATAGTGCAGGACAACACTTTCAGTTTGGTGCTGATCATTTTCCCTAGCCAGCACAAGCGCTCAATCCTTGCTACCCAAAGCCACAAATTACAAACCAACGCTGAACTCAGTTGGATTATTTGGCATTCAGCTGCCGGTGAATGGATGAAAGCCTTTCGTCGCGGAGTTGTTTATTAGAAAACACCAACTAAACAGTCATAGACAGGAAAGTAGAGCCCCCATATCACCCTGTTTTTTTTAAAGACTGAATATCCGTCTTCTTGAACTTTCCTGGATATTCATTGACCATCACGCAATTGTAGACGAATGCTACAAAGCATTTCAACAAATTCCGTAATAAATCCCAGCTACCGTTGGATCAAGGCAGAGCTACGAGAAAACCACATACTACTTGCATGCCGCTACGCCGGCAGCTAGCTTTGATATAAGATTGTCGTGCATTTTAAAGCATCCCACTTGAAACTGAATATGGTATCCAGGCGGCACGCGTATCTGTTCTCTGTGACACATAGATTGATGCAAAGCAACTCTCTTACTCGAAACAATCGAGCTGAGTTGGCTGTGCATCGTCCAGATCTCAAGTGGTACGACTGTTGTAATGATTATTTAGATTACTGTTGCAAAAGGTAAAGGACCCCATGCTCAGAGCTTTTGAACCCGTCCGTCCACGATCGCCCAAGTACCCCAACGAAAGCTGGATCTCGTCGCGACCAGCAGCTCCGAGTGAATCCGGGAGAACTGCGTCAGCAACAAAGGACTCTGATGGCACATGCAGATTCCTCAAGTGCCGGATAATGAAGAGCCTGAGGATTGACAGATAACACAAAGCCTTGTGGAATGGCGAAAGCCTTAGCACCGGGGACAATCGGTTGAGGTTGCAATCAGAATCAGTTGGCTTCCTAAATAGATTCATTTTATCGGTCCCATTCAGACCACACGTAAATTTCCGGATATGTAGATAAAGATACTTGTTCGTTTTTTGAGGGCAAAATGACATATGTTTTTCTTGGTTTGATAACACAGTAACGGTTCGTTGTCAACAAATTTCTAGGAAAGGCTGCTGTTATAGCTATCGAGTGTGGGAGATTTAAGTTCACTGGAACTTTTGGGTTTTTCAACAGTTGCACGCACAGTCGTCGTTTCGTTCTGCTGTACGTCAGTCAGAGGATGGTGAAGGAATTTTATGGCCTTCGGTGAGGGATCCACTAATCGATCTCAGCGCATTCTGTCACAAAGAAATACACATTGTTTCCCTTCTTCATAGAAAACGAGATAAGGAAGCGCATTATATTGGACCGTTTTTTTACCGACGGAGAACTCGACAAAAGTTCTCCACAGATATCCGACCAATCGCTTAATTCGGCTATCATTCAGTCAGATACATCCACATATGGGGAACTTCACCGTATTCCACACTTTCAGAGCTGCCGATGCAAATCAGAGCGTTTCTCGAACGCTAAATCCTGGGACGCATCGGGCGGTCCAGCTACCACACATTACACAATATAATCATCAACGTCCTCAGCTGTACGAACCGGTCACTTGCCGGATAGTGGTTCCAGCTGCCACTGTTTCGTTCACCGATGATTTGGAAACGTTGGCAGATTGGAAGCGGTATCGGGGGCCGCACTCGAGGCGGTAGCTGATCTAATGATGCGTAAGTAGAGCGTTGTCGGTGGACTTTTATTTGGGAGATTGGCAGAGGAGCTATGCATTCGGTGCAATCTATTGGTTGCGCAAGCGCCAGTGACAACGCGACTGAGCCATATCTGACAATGCATCTAAACACTGAGGTGTCCCGTCTACAGGTCCCCATCAAGAGAGACGAGAATGACCAGAGCAAATGAATTTTCCGACAATGGCTTTCATACTTAGCTGCCTATTCATTGCTTGACTTCCCGCGGCTCGTTTCCACCCTTCGGGTGGTTGTGCGCAAACATCCCTGAGAGTACTGAAGCTATATTCAGATCAGACGAACACGATTGGCTCAGTCCGCTCAAAAGCCTACGTTCGATGACACAATAGGCGACGAAAGTGGAAAAGGGAACCAATCTACTGGTCGAACGATATGCTCGATCCTGTACGATGGTTGTCCAAGAACTGTCCATCAGTAGGTAGGCCCAACGGCGTCAGCAAAATCCGCAAGTCATCAGTACGCCGATTTCGATCCCTTCATGACTTGTCTCTTAGAACGCACCTGCAACTACATGATACAATGATGATGACACCTTGTACAGAGCACAAATCCTGCAATCGATCGAAACGAAATATGGAGTTCACGTTAAAAACCGTTTTTGGTGTGAAGTCATGAGATCCAAAGTAACTAGATCTTGGAGGAAAACTACGAAAGTCGAGCCTAAGCAGCATACGCTCTCAAACGGCCTAGGAGTTCTGGTGTTGATCCAGTCATTTTCTTGCACATTTCCTGCTCAAGTCTGATAGGACAGCTTGGCTAAATGCTTATGCAATCAATTGCAGCTACTTGCAAAATCAGTAAGTAGTTACATAGCTATTGAAGAGCCTAGGACCTGAAATTTTCCTTTGAGAGCAAGTGCAGAAACCTGTAGCCCATCGATCGCCAGACCACTCCTCGATGAATTGAACTGTCGATTCTCCGCACCACACGCATGCACTTGATCACCAAGATTACGACGGGGTGTCCTAAAACTAAAACCGGCGATATTTTTAAATTGCCTACACAATATCATGGAAGCTGGTATCGCCTAATCAGCGGAGTTGCCCTGGAATAGTGATGTAGGTGAATAACTAGCCGAAAATTATCGTTTGGAGACCCAGTCGCATAAGCGGTTGATCAGTAGTCATGACAATCATCAATTGTATTAGACGAAATTGTAATAAATCAATTCAGCGTACTCGCTTTTGTGGACCAGCATCTGTGGTAGCCCATCCGGGATGCCAATGGTCCCGTAAGCGAGAAGTATAAATTAGATGGCTATCCTCGACTTAAACAAATGTCAATGAATTTTATGGCTGCAGGGAAATAAATTGTGAAATATGCTTCGCTGTTGCCATCTTAGTAAAACTCTTCAGGAAAAGATTATTCTTGTCTAGATGTGTTTATGCTATCCCTTTATAAAACACAGAACAAAGTTAAGACCCCAGAGGTTTGCACCTCATCCTGTGCTTGCCAAATTTCGGGTGACACCTTTTCTTATGACCTCGAATCACTTATTACCACTCATGATGTCAAACCGTTCACACCAAATCAAGGAAAAATGGCAAGTACGGGCACACCCATCGGGTTTGGAGAAAGGCTGCTTGCTTCTCCTGTCTATCAAGGAGGGCCCTGGCTTGCTGCAAAAGAACAAACTGACCAAAAGAATATAAGAAAATCAAAAAAGCGAAACACGGTGCTGAATTTCCCACGGTAAGTATCGAAAAATGCCCCATACATTGTTGATTCTTGTTTTTTTTCGTCAATACACTGGGACGCACAAATCGAGTCACGTGAACCCGCAGTGGCACCACGCATGAAGCTCTCTTCATGAATCGATGAACGACCAAACACAAACATCATAGGAATTGATCACTTTAGTCCACTGCTGACGAATGTGATTGTAATCGCACTCAATCGGCTATCGCTTTACTGTAAGCCTGTGCCTCGTAACAAATTGGTCAGGGACTACACTTAAAAATACGAAGGTGAACCGAAAGTGGCTACAGTCGAGCGAAGTGCGGTTAAACACTAATGTCATGCTGTCAATGATGATGATGAGAATCTTTACGCCTTTCGGAATGGGGTCACGTAATGCTGCTCCCACTTGGTGGGAAACACGGTGTGCAACCGATCCGCATCTAGCTACAGTTCGTCCGTCGTTATGTGCTGAGCTTATTCCGAGTGAGGTTCGCAAAGTATGATAGTCAATCCCGTTGGTGGACCCTTTCGTCGAAGTGATGCTCAGATGTACCCATCTTAATGCTGTTCACCGTTTTCCCTAAGAAACATAGGGCTTCCTCGCACTTAGTCTTTACCCCACTGTTTTTTTACATTTCACTGGTGATTTCTTCCACCATGGTTGTTTGGTAGTTAAGAACCGGTAGATATTAGTGGTGATTCTCTGGCATTGGAGACGATGACCGCTGTTCATACAGGTACAATCAATACGTTTGGTACATTCGAATCGATGTCTACCAAGAAAGGGACTCGCATAACCTCATCCTCACATACATACTTGAAAAACACGATGGTATGTCCTATGGACAAACGTATGGATAAATATAACCTCTGGGAACCCCAGTGCCTCATAAATTCCTCATTTCGAGCAGGCCCAGTCGAAGTAACCTGTGAAAGTCAGAGCAATTCACCTCCAGAACCATGGAACCACGGTCACCTCGATGCGATGAAGCCTATCGAACACAGCATTACGGCCTCCGTCCCGGAGTTCCTTTCTCGGGTTCATGAGATAAGTCTAGTACTGAAATGAGCATCAAGATTATTTCATCAATAAACGCCGAATGGCACCAATATCGAGTCAAAAACACACTCATATTACGACGTTTACTAAAGACTTCGCTGTATCTGCCTTCATAATATTCTTCAATCCAATGTGCTGCACCTCGTTTCAATTGGATAGAAGTTCAAAATGCCAAAGTATTTCCGTGAGATGACCTGGATAAAACCTTCTGGACGGTCCACTGCCGGTTTCACGCTTTCTGGATAATTGGGATGAAAACCCCTTCACGGCGGATGGCATTTCATGCTAATCGTTCCCTCTTTCGGCATGAATAAATATAATACAACGTGCAGGGTGCTCGGAAAGCACAACTGAAAGAATCCCAAGCCTGTCGAAAGAGGCGGATAAAGGCTTATCCAATAAGAATACAAGAGATTTATTGTGAACAAACGAGTGCAAAATCACAGGGAACGTCACAGTATTTATGACCTTGAGTCAGGGCTGTCCAATCGATGTTGAGTGATAGTCATCGCTTTTAATTCACTCCCGAGCGCCATCGCTGATTGCTTGCTTGAACCTTTGATCGATAGGTGGCTTTTCTGGCCCATAGACTCACCAACCTTACTGAAGCGATCTTGGCGGAGCTGGTGGACGTTCTGCGGCTAAGTGCGGTAATCTGACCGTCTTGGCAACATCATCAGCACTCGCAGCGCAACAAGTTAGAGCTTCTAGGGAAAAGTTTTCACACTGATGAACAATCAACCGACTTAGACCACACATAATGTAACCTCCGGGGTCAAGATGGCTCGTGGTTAGAGCGCCAATTTACTGACCGGAAGGCCTATGGTTCGAACCCGACCTTTACCACTCGACTTCCCCTGTCTAGACTTGGGCGACCTGGCAGTATCCCAGCCCTCGTGCCTCCTTCGTGTGGCATGGCAGCTAGACACCGAAAGGGTGCTACAGCTGAACGATTATTATCATTATTATTATTATTATTATTATTATTATTATTATTAATGTAACCTCTTCATTAATGGTTCTTACTTCTACGTGGACGAAATCGATCACTTTCCCAACTTGGCATCTCCTTAGATGAGAGAAGTTTCATACATGCGCATTTGGAGAGAAAAATGAGTTACATCGTTCCCTGTTAGCTGTTGCTGTTCTGAACGGTAGTAGCAGCTGGAGGATATCATCAGAATAATGCAAGTCAAGAAGTAATCCCAGCAGCTTCAACAGATCGCCTTCAGTTGGATTGTAAAGACAGTGTAACTCGAACTGGAAGAGAAACGGAGATATACAACGCCTGGGTACGGCAGAAGAAAAAGCTGGTCATCCCTGGATCCATTCGTGGTTTGAGAGCGAAGTGGCTTCAGTATTCGTAAATACGTCACGTATAACCTTCTTACTAAACAACCTCATAAAATTTTTCGATCCACGGTCACTGCTGCTCTGATATAAAGAAACACGGCTGCTTGGCGGTGGCCTAACACTTAAACAAGGGTTGGAACTTCGATCGAGGCAGATGCGGTCTCTATTTTATCAGTTGCTGTTTGATACGTGTGAGTTGATATATAACTTACAACCAATTAAGCCCATCCTTGGGAAACTTAATCCTTGAGATAGGTATTTTAAAATAGGCCATAGCTGCAACCCCTATCTCTAAGGTACATCGTGATCAGTTTTTTACGGTCCCCTAATGAACGCGTGCGAAATACGGCGCACTAAACGGCTTGCTCACGCACAGCCCCCAGTTACACTAGGCAAAGTGTGTCTTAGAGTTGGAGAGAATGCGCAAGGCCCTGTGATGACCGTTTCGCTGGGTCAGATTCTAACTGTCTGAACTGTCCCTATGCATAGCATAATGGTTGTGCGTCCAAAGTCGTTTTGCTCAGTCGTCAGATAAGAGGGTTGCCTTCGTTTCCTGGTTCCTCTGATGGTTGTCCAGAAGGGTGGGATCTGACAATCTACTCACTTTTAGGTGCTATGATTTCGCTCTCAGCCACTAAACGAACTGTGACTCGGAAGAAGGACACCTGGTTGTGGGATGGGGAATGTCATGTAGAAATTCTGTGATTGTGAGGAAAAATTGGTGGTACAAACACAAACCCCAGGAAACGCTCTTCGCTGACCTAACGAGAACTTTCGGAAGGAGGACATCTGGTTGTGGGATGGTGAATGTCATATAGAAATTCTGTGATTGTGAGGAGAAACTGGTGGTACAAACACAAACCCCAAGAAACGCTCTTCGCTGACCTAACGAGAACTTTCTGGAACAAACGGACCGTTCAAATGAGCATCCTTTCTGCTGGCACATCCCAACATACATATCTCAGATTACAACGATAATATCTAAGCTGGGAACCTTCTAAAGCCAGATGGCTCCGTGGTTAGAGCGCGAATTTACTGATCGGAAGGCCCGTGGTTCGAACCCGACCTCTGCCTCTCGACTTCCCCTGTCTAGGCTTGTTCAACCTGGCGGTATCCTAGCCCTTGTACTTCCTTCTGGTGGCATGGCAGTTAGGCACCGAAACCATGGTACAGTTTAACGATTTTCTATGCGTTCTGGAAACAAAAGGACGCAAAATAAGTTAGGCTACTGGTTTCGCACATCAAGGTTGATGTGTAGGCTCTGTTAGCCTTTGTGACGAAAAATAATGTTCCGTAACTTGCTGTTGTTACCACTGGACTACGTGATAACAAGGTGTGTAGGAAAAAAACAAAAGACGTCTTTTGGATTTGAAGGAATGTATCGCCAAACACCAAGGATCGCACGATGTTTGGATGGATAATGCTAGGAATCTGTACAAACAAGAGACAAGTGATAATATCGAACAAGTTCGCCGGTTCAGCCAGCTTTCGACAGCTTGGCCAGTTCTTCTTTCAACGCATATAATTCCAACTGAGGCACATAACGGGCGTCGTCCGATTTGGGGTCGCTCTAGAGATAACAAAGATTCGCGTAATTCTTCATAAAGACAAGAACTCACCTGACTAAGTGATAGCTCCACGCCTTCCGGCAAATTTTGGTGAACCAAATCCACTAGTAGAGGCAAATGTATAGCCTTGAGACCATTCAACTAATCCAGTCGATTTAGACAGACAAACTGCACACTTACCCGGACGACACGATGATAGTCTGATAGTACGAACGTTGTACGCACATTGGTGGAATTCGGCTGGTACAAACGGTAAGTTGTCAGTTTGGCAGGTAACGCGAAGCTAAGCATAAATGAACCACCAGAAAGCCAGTCACATACATATATACATCAAGATTCAGTCGGGAGAGAAAGCGTCGCAGGTAGGTGCAAAATTGTTCCAAGATGACAAAATCGCGGCATTTGACGTCGAACTGCAACTCGGGGTAGACAGGAATGGGTGGTTTAGCAGACTGGAACGAGTTTGCGAGTGAAGAACAACTGTTACTTACCAGATATGGAGGATCAAGGTTGCGGACTTTAATGTTGTACTGCATGGTTCTAAAGCCAAGTTAATAGCCTGATGTAACCACTCACCGAAATGGAATTTTGGAACACAAAGTAAGTCTGTTCAGAAATAAACGTCGACAATTCATTGTCGCGAAGCTTTTGTGGCTAAAATTAAGTGAAGCAATAAAATGACAAAAAGAAAAGGTCGTTGAAGGCACACAACGGATCCTGGCTCCACTTTCTGCGAAGCAACAGGATCTCAATGAACTTATTTTTTCGAAATCAAGGATGCACTCAATTAGATTAATGTCTCCAACAAAAAACCTCCAAAGAGAGATCATGACGGCACGCTCCGCTATCTGCGGTTTGTCGTGAAATTCCTCCACGAGCCCCCGACCCCAGGAAAACCCAGAAAAGTGAATTACCCGAAATATTTTCTCCCTGAGGGGATTAGTGTAGGTCAACCAGTCTAGTAATAGAAACATGATTATGCACTATAATAAAGGATGTACGGTGAAAACTACCCTATAAGGGTCAGTGTGTGAATGGTGAAGCTGCAAAAAAGGTCTCGGTAGTTGTTATAGTCTGACCCAGAGACCCAGTTTGGGAGCTCGAGATAGCTCAGTGGTTAGCGCGCGAACTTACTGACCAGAAGTTCCGTGGTTCCAAACCGACCTCTGCGTCTCGACTTCTCCCATCTAGGTTTGAGGAACCTGGCAGTATCTTACCCATCGTGTTTCTTTCGGTTGAAGTGGCAGATACACGCCGAAAGAAAGTTACAGCTGAACGATCATTTTTTATCATTGGAGTTAGGGAATCTTATGAGATAACAGTGAAGTCGCTTTGTGGAACAAGAACAATTCAGCCTACTCAGAGGAAATTTAAAGTGGACAACCAAGACGAGAATTTTTACAAAATCATGGAAAATCAAGCGCCCCACTTCAGAGAAAAATAGAACAACACCGAGTAGTCGTGCTCACGAGAACAACTAAGTGGACTCAACATTATTTGGAGCGCTCAAGGATCAATTCACCAGCCGCGCTGGCGAAGTTTCAGCATATACAAACCTCGTTTATTCTGTCGATCGAAAGATTCGGTAAGACTCATGCCTTTTGTAACGTCCCGGTTGAAATCATCTCCGTTCGATGTGCTGGTAATCCAGGATAAGAACCAGAGGTTGAGCAGGTAAAACGCAGAGTAACCTGGATTTGAAACATCATTTGGAACGTACGAAGGATTCGATTTGTATGGTCTCAGGATTGGGCTCTAGGATTGGGCAACCTGGCAGTATCCCAGTCCTCGTGCTTTCTTCTGGTAGCATAGTAGTTAGGCACCGAAAGAATGTTACAGCTTAACGATTCTTTTTCCGATTCTCAGAGGAGAGGGGAATAACGTAAAACCCGAGACGCACACTCAGCTCTCTCAAAATATGTACAATCCAGCTACAGGTGCATGTATGGCGTACAGTGTACGAATGGAATGTCAGCTGACAGTGTATGTCGTGAAATCGAGGGATCGCAACGCATCCAGGGAGAATAGCACCATCAGCAAACATGAAATTTATTTCAGAAACCCTGTAATACACAACTCATCAAAATTATTTGACAAGTGAGACTGCTAACGAGTGGCCGAAATGTTGGATAATGGTCTGGAACATAAGGGTACGGCGGATTTTCGAGCGCAGCAGCTCCCACATTGATATGTAGTTTGGCAGTAGACTAACCAATCAAGATGTTTATGCATAGTCGTCTTTATGAAACTATAGTGGTTTTGCATGTCAGAACTTGTTTCCACTCACTGCTGATGACGCCGTCTCGTTGAGTTGTAGTTAGGGGTTTCAACTCAACATGTAACATCAGTGATCCACTCATCTGCACGACAAAAAAGCCTTGGTCGGCTGACTTTCAGTATCCACGTCAATAGTTTAAAACTTGTAAAAGCGTAAGTAATCAGTCTTAGAGAAGGAATCCAAGAAAGGTATCTTAACAAGAGGAGTACATACTGACATACTGTCGTTTCCTGAAGGCTTTTCGTTCTCATCAAACTGCATATCTTAATCCGTACAGAGTGGTTTTTGTATAAATAGAAACGTTTAGTGAAGAAAAGGTCTTTATGAAAGCCATTGTGTGGTTCGCCATAGAAAGCTTCTGCCTTGGAAGTCAGGTATCGGAAAAGTGCACTCCTAACTTGTGAGCCCAACACTTACTGTACTGCAAAAAAACTGAGGCGACAAAAACGCCTGGATCTTCAGGAATAAGTGTGCAACGTCCATAGGATAACACTTACGCGCACGGTTTCACAGTCAAACTTTAAGGTAATTGGACAGTCCTGGGAGCCATAAAATCTATCGGAAAAATACCAACTCTCCAATTAAACTGCTGTGCACAGGTCAGAAGAACTTCCACACTATCAAAGGAAATGACTGATACCAGTGGATTAGTCATAAATGTGTTAGCCAAATTTAAGACCAAGGAGAATCCAACCAGGTCCGTCAATGAGAAAGGAGTCTGTAGTTAGTGTGAGCCATCAATGTTCCATAAGGTCATCACGCAAAGACCTCGCTGTGTTATCAGAACTCTGCTAGTCCAGTTCACATCATTCGCTACCCTACTAGACAAACATCTGGTTTACAGCACCATGGTTCTGCCAGAATCAGTAATACACACCCGGAAATGTTCCTATGATAATCGAGACAAACATAGTGCGAACTGCTCCGTTGCTAGATTTGGATTAGACTGTGCAAAATGTAAGCTGTCTCTCGGCAATGATTTCCTGCAGGAACAGCAAAGTCCGCAAAAAAGCCAACCATCAGTCATACGTATTGTTCACGCGTTCAGCTGTGGCACACCTTCGGTGAACAGATGTCGTGCAACTCGAAGGAATATGTCAGACTACCCAGGCTTGGGCGGGGGAAATCGAGAGGCTCAGACCACGGACTTTCTTGACGGCAGGTTGCAAGCCTTGAGCCATCTCGAGCTTTGTCTGTAGTTGGTGAATAAGAGCTATGGATAGCGATATTTCCACCATGAAAATCCAGTCCTACATAATGTACACCAGTCTGGTGCTCGGAAGAAAGGGAGACATCGGAATAGTCGTTCCTTCACACGGAATAAACGCTCAGGGGTGCCTTTCATTGAAAAGCCGTGTCTGAGGGTCTGGACGGTCTTTAAAGAAGAAAGAAAGCGTTCAGCTGTAACACCCTTCCGGTGCCTAGCTGCCATGCTACCCGAAGGAAGCACGAGGGCTGGGACACTGCCAGGTTGCTCAAGCCTAGACAGGGGAAGTCGAGTGGCGGAGGTCGGATTCGAACTACGGACCTTCCGGTCAGTAAATTCGCGCTCTAACCACTTGGGCCATCTTGCCCCTTGGATGGTCTTTACCTAGAAATGACCTCGAAAGCTGCATTCCCATTCTATTGAACGGAGAAAATTTTCATGACGGGAGTGGTCTTTGTGGAGGAATGATTGTACCATTAATAATTACCACAGAAGACAATCGAGCTTATTTGTGGGGGGTCAAGAATGGGAAAAACTAGTCACATGTGAAAAGAATATATTCAGTAATACATCAATACAACAAACAGATCCGAAAGTAAACAAGCCACACATTGACACACTCCGGGCTGTACAGAGGCAGACAGTAATCAGAGTGTATCCACTCCCCAAATGATTTTTCTGTCCTATGCCACAAAGGGTGGAGGCAAAAAAACGTTTACACGACAAATTATATATCTCCTTAAACAAACAGAGAGTAAACAAAATATGTTAGCACTGTATAAGAGCTGTTTGGAGATTTTCAACTGATTTCAAAATGAAAATTTGGAAAAGATTCCTACTAGATAAACAAACAGTTAAAAAAAAGACGATACAACAAAAAACAGACGGCTAAAAATAGGTGTTGGTGACATGAAATGGCTACTAGTGAATATCTGTTAGAGTGTTTCTTAAATTTGTGATGGTGGGACAAGGCATGCCCCAATGTTGGGCAGCTTGAGTCTGATGATGAGCAGGTTCACAGCCAAGTTCATGGCACAAGATGAGCAGCATACAGGCCGCCGCCAGTCATGTCATCCGCCATTCTGGACACGGAACCGAGACGGATTCAGATAGATGCAGTTGTACTGGGTGAGTGGTGCAGACCAGTGAAGACCCCTTGAGACTAGACCGAGATCTACGTTTGGCCCATTTGTAATTATGAATCGAATTGGAAGCGCCATGTTCCGAAGCACTCGCGGTGTGGCTCTTCAGGTTCTTAGCAGAAGAACTACTGATTAAGTTGCTCGTAGGCGAGTGGGTTTGCAAAAAGGCCTTCAATCGTTTCGGGTAATCAGTCATTATTCCTTGGGCACCGACTGCGAATGCCGCTTTGAAATCCTCTGTGGTGTTGCAAACCCAGAAAATAACCTGAAAAAATTGGAGAGGAACAGAGTAAAGTTAATGGACTGTATGGCTGTTTCCACGGCTCCTTTAAGAGCCACAGAAACTGAGACTCACTACGAACAGCTGTGTACAAACCATATCGAAATTTAAGTAACTTAAATCATGAGTCAAGTTGTTTCCAAACGTTGATCATTGGAACCCGATGTTGGGAAACTTGAAACGCCTTGAAAATCCCTAGTTAAGTGCTAACATGGAATCAAACAAAAACAAAGGAGTCGCCAATCTCGTGGAAAGTCATCCACAAAGCTGGTCGCTCTGGCTGCTGAAGCATGCATGCGGACGAACAAGCGAGCGAGTTCCTTTATTCGCCGCTGTTCGTGAACTTTCCAAACATAAACACCGAATGGAATGACTGACAACAAGAGATCAGTATTTGGAGCATCCGTCAGTCATTTCCAGGAATTTACAAGTTAAATAAAGGGGCCAACTGAATGTCAGACGCTTTAGAGTTGGGAACAACACAAACGGAGCAACTTGACTCCATGCCGATTCATGGGGTCACCCAGGTTTGAAAGAAACATACCATCGGTGTGAGTATGGAGCGTTCAGGTTTCTCAACCCAATGCGCAGCGCAGTTTGCTGTCCCCAGTCCCCGATTTTCATTAGCCTTATCAGTACGCCATGTACTTTGGTAGGTTGAATATCATCCTATTTGAAAGCAGATGCAGAAATTGCGCTGCTCATCTGGCAGAACGTCCTAAACAATAAACTCCCTTGAGTCTCCCG